TCAGAGAATACTAAGTCAAGCCAAGCAGAATAGAGGTTTGTTTATCTAGCAATCCTAAGCGAACATGCAATAAAACGATAAAACTACAGAACAGGAGTGAACATGCATAAAGGGAAATAGCTATCAATACTAAGCAATAAGCAAGCAGCAAGTACAGAGAATAGGTAAACAACAAGTAAGCAAGATTCAAGCAATCAATAGAGATAAAGGGTCCTGAGGAATGGGATAATCGATTATAGCAGTCTCCTTAGTCTATCTAGGTGGTTAACAAACTCAATCAAGCTATCCCTAGACAATAGATTCAAATACAAATCAATCCACTCTCGTGACAGAGATTCTCAAGCTAAATCACTTTCATACTCAATTCTCATTGAAGAAACATAACCTAGCAGGCATTATGATTCAATCTAATCTAGTCAATAAGCATTCTAAACATCCAATCTCTTGGGCTAGAGTATGCAAATCTCTGGAATAGTTGGTTCAGACATTTCATCAAACACCTTTTGGGTGTGGAAATGTCTGAGATCAACTTCCAATTGATCAGAGAAGAAGTAGCATTAAGATCTACTAAACCAGAAGGGAAATCAAGCAATTCTACACTTAACCACCTAAATATACTAAAGATTCCACACCTAATCTAACCCATCCTCAAGAACCCTAATCCACTACTCAAGAACACTGAAGAACATCATGCATAAAAACCCAGAAAATGCTTCAAACCCAGAAATCATTAAAAAGCAAGTATGATATAGATAAGAAGGAGATCTACAACTTTGATGAAGAAACGAAATTCAAAATCTCAAAGGATCAAAGGGAAAAACGATTACAAAACTAGGGTTTTTTGAGAGAACGGCTCAATATCCGCTGGGAAATACTAGGTTGCCCTAATTGGCTACAAGACAAAATAGAGAGTCGGCGGAGACCAACTCGACGTGACGTCGAGCCAGCCACGTCGAGACTGCCCTTCTTCAGAGATGGCGCCTGGATGACCCTCTCGACGTGTCGTCGAGCCAGCCACGTCGAGACCGCCCCTCCTCAGCTTCTTCACGTCTCACTCGACTGCACGTCGAGCCTGGTAGGTCGAGACTGACACTTGGTGGCTTCTGGGCACTAGCTCGACCTCCTGTCGAGCCCATGACGTCGAGACCGGTTCTGGATGCTCTCGATTGGCTTCATTCCTCTCCAACTCGATCCCAAGTCTAGTTCCAAGGTTGTGTGGCTCCTCCTTGCTCCATTAAGTCCCAAAGTAAACTCCAAAGCACCTGAAACTCACCCAATATGCAACATGATATGCCATGCAATGCAAAACGTACTAAGTGATGAAAATGATATGAAAAGGACTCTGGATGCAATGAAAGAGTGATAAAACTTAGCTAAATGTATGAGAAAAGTAAGCTTAAAAGTAAGCTTAATTTTGATTTTATATAAAATGTGTATCCATGTGTATATAACATTAATTATTTGAAAATCTTTTTGTCTCCTTTTGCATTATTTATAAATGTTATTGCTATTTTGAAATAGAAAAAAAAATAAAACAATTGCAGCAATTTACTAATATAAGAAATAAATAAATAAAATATAAGCACAAATTAAAAATTAACAAAAATATAGTATCATATATAAGTTTACGAAAACTATGATCTAATAAATTGTGCTAATTATGTCGTTATATCTTACTCTAAACTAAGAAGATAAATAATACATTTTATTATTTATATTAATAAACTTACCGCATAACTTATTATTTATATAAATAAACTTAGTGTATTATATATCTTACTGAAACAAGATTTATATGCCCTGAAAAACTATTTGAGCAGAATATATAATCCTAAATATGAATTTAAATTTAGCTTTCAGTTATACATTTTAACAAAACATATATCGTGTCGTGAAAATAATATTTTTCCTTCTTTTTTTGACATTTATTTAAGAAATATTATCCACATGTTCTTTATTTTTTGTCTTCATCAACGTGTTCAATACTTTTTCTTTTTTTGGTCTTTTGTATAAGATTTTGATTAGGAAAAAGAAGTTTGTAACGGTTATAATTTTTTGTATTTTTATAAATATTTTATTGTACTGATCGAAATCTATATAAAGTTACGTAATGTGGCATTTGGAGTTGGAAGTGATGGAAAAAACGTATTGGAGCTTATGGATGCAACGTCATACCGCGATTTGTTACTTTAATATATAGTTTTTTTACTTTTTTTTTTTTGTCAAATCTTTAATATATAGGATTTTAGATTTATATATATGATTCAAAGATTTTGACATATGGTGTAAAAAATGATGAATATTTTTTCACTCCACGAGGTTTTATTATTTTACTAAATATTAAATGTACAAGTGGAAACAATAAAAACATTATAGGATTCAAATTACCTCATCTCATCTCATATTTTTCTAGAACAATAAAAACATTATAGGATAAATCTTACTATAAATTACTAAAACATCATCATCCCAACATTACTAATTTATAGATGTTTTACTTATGCCACCTTTTTATTGTGACCAACACATGGCCAATTCGGCCATTTCCCTCAATATTACATGTTAATTATAAGTTCAGTATTTACCTACAATAAGTTTTATATATTCAGATAAATTATTTCATACTAAAAGAAATAAGATTCACCCTGAAACATCTAATTTACCTTACTTTCATTGCAATTTAATTCCATTTCTGAGAGTAAAATATATTTGATAATTTCGGAACCATCTACAAACCTGTAAACCCATGGGTTTTGTATTAGAAAACGATATGCCATAAACTAGATTTGGTTAGACAAAGATCCAACGATTATACCTGTAAACCCAAGTGCTTGTGCTTTCAGCATATCTCTAAAGTAATAGGGAAATTAACATGGTTTTAGTTAAAATATTATTAATTATTTTCTTAAAGTTTAAGTGTTAAATTTATTTTAAAGTTTAGTGAAAAATCATTATTATTTTTTAAAATGAGTTTAAATGTTAAATCTATATTACGTGAATACATGCAGAACTTCGAACACCAAAGCTTACGGACTAACTAAGGACAGGATACCTAGGCGCGGTAAGTTTTCGATGTTTTTAAAATTGAACACTTAAACTAATTTTTTAAAAATTAATAGTGAAATTAACATGGTTTTATTTAAAAATTATAAATTATTTTCTTAAAGTTTAAGTGTTAAATTTGTTTTAAATTTTAGTGAAAATCATTATTATTTTTAAAAAATGAGTTTAAGTGTTAAATCTATATAATACGTGAAAACATGCCGAACTTCGAACACCAAAGCTTACGGACCAATTAAGGACAGGATGCCTAGGCGCAGTTATTTTTTGACGTTTTTAAAATTGAACACTTAAACTAATTTTTTAAAAAGTATTAGTGAAATTAACATGGTTTTAATTAAAAAATTATTAATTATTTTCTTAAAGTTTAAGTGTTAAATTTGTTTTAAAGTTTAGTTAAAATCATTATTATTTTTTAAAAATGAGTTTAACTGTTAAATCTATATTACGTGAAAACATGCCGAACTTCGAACGCCAAAGTTTACGGATCAACTAAGGACAGGATGCCTAGGCGCAGTTAGTTTTCGACGTTTTTAAAATTGAACACTTAAACTAATTGATCCTGATTGGGCTGATACACTTCATCGGCTAATCACTCATCCATATGCGAGGTATGACTACATTCTCCTCCGCTTGTGTTTCCAAGCAACCATATATTATCTATGGCGGGAAAGAAACGAGAGAAGGCACAACAGCCTACATCGTACGCACTCCCAACTAGCCCGTACGATTGAGAGAGTTATACGGTCAAGAATCGTGTCTTTACGATACTACGAGAATAAGAAGTTACGATAATAATCGTGGTTTAGCTCAAGGCAAACTCAATAGCAGTTTTTGTTGGCTCTGTTTCACTTTTCAATGTTTACGCTCTGTTTCTCATTTGCTCTATTATTTCATTTGATGTAAATAACTGTACTCTCATTAATTAATTTCACGTTTCATCAAAAAAAAAAAAAGAACACATAAACTAATTTCTTAAAAAGTAATAGTGAAATTAACATGGTTTTAGGAAAAAATTATTAATTATTTTTTTAAAGTTTAAGTGTTAAATTTGTATTAAAGTAGTGAAAATCATTATTAGTTTTTAAAAATGAGTTTAAGTATTGAATCTATATTACGTGAAAACATGCCGAACTTCGAATACCAGAGCTTACGGACCAACTAAGGACAGGATGCCTAAGTGCGGTTAGCTTTCGACGTTTTTAAAATTGAACACTTAACCTAATTTTTAAAAAGTAATAGTGAAATTCACATGGTTTTAGTTAAAAATTATTCATTATTTTCTTAAAGTTTAAGTGTTAAATTTGTTTTAAAGTTCAGTAAAAATCATTATTATTTTTTAAAAACGAGTTTAAGTGTTAAATCTATATTTCATGAAAACATGCCGAACTTCGAACACCAAAGCTTACGGACCAACTAAGGACAGGATGCCTAGGCGCGGTTAGTTTTCGACGTTTTTAATAAATAACACTTCAACTAATTATTTAAAAATAATAGTAAAATTAACATAGTTTTAGTTAAAAATTATTAATTAGTATCTAAATTTGTTTTAAAATTTATTGAAAATCATTTTTATTTTTTAAAAATGAGTTTAAGTGTTAAATCTATATTACATGAAAACATGCTGAACTTCGAACACCAAAGCTTAAAGACCAACTAAGGACAAGATGCCTAGGCGCGGTTAGTTTCGACGTTTTTAATATTTAACACTTAAACTAATTTTTAAAAATAATAGTGAAATTAACATAGTTTTAGTTAAAAATTATTAATTATTTTCTTAAAGTTTAAGCGTTAAATTTGTTTTAAAATTTAGTTAAAATTATTATTATTTTTTAAAAATGAGTTTAAGTGTTAAATCTATATTACGTGAAAACATGCTGAACTTTGAACACCAAAGCTTACTGTCACGGGCTTTTCTCAGAAGACCGTGAAGCGGTCGACAATCTCAGTATTGCCCGACTTCCTACCATCGACTATCTCCGACTGGTTTCGCCCTGTCTTGGGCTCATCAGGTGATCGGCTCCAGATCACGACCAGTTTGGGCAGGGATGGCCTAATCCCCTCTTCTGAGTCTGATCCTCGATCAGCGACAGACACTCAAACTCCACCCGAGTTGTTCTGTCTAATTCCAAAGGGACTCTCCAACCTGAGTCATGCACGCCCCTCATAGAAGCACGTTCACCTGCCCCAGTGGAATGGCCCCGCGGAAGCAACGCGACTGTCACGAACCGTCCCAAGAAAATGGGTCGTGACATTCTCCCCCACCCATCAATGTGCACGTCCTCGTGCACGGAAAGAATCCTCAAGATCGTACGTTGTGTTGTTGTGGGATAACTCTTACCCCCACTTCAAATCGATGACTCGGCACCTCTGCCTTGGTCTTCACGGACACCTCGCCCTCGACCATTTCTACGCCACCGAACAAGGCTCCCCCGCCTACCCGTCTCGTTACGGGCGCTAAGCGAAGACAACACACAACGTTCTTGGCTCTGATACCACATGTCACAGGCTTTTCTCAGAAGACCGTGCGGCGGTCGACAATCTCAGTATTGCCCGACTTCCTACCATCGACCATCTCTGACTGGTTTCGCCCTGTCTTGGGCTCATCAGGTGATCGGCTCCTGATCACGACCAGTTTAGGCAGGGATGGCCTAATCCCCTCTTCTGAGTCTGATCCTCGATCAGCGACAGACACTCAAACTCTACCCGAGTTATTCTGTCTAATTCCAAAGGTAGTCTCCAACCTGAGTCCTGCACGTCCCTCATAGAAGCACGTTCACCTGCCCTAGTGGAATGGCCCCGCGGAAGAAACGCGACTGTCATGAACCGTCCCAAGAAAACGGGTCGTGACATTCTCCCCCACCCATCAATGTGCACGCCCTCGTGCACGGGAAGAATCTTCAAGATCGTACGTTGTGTCGTTGTGGGATAACTCTTACCCCCACTTGGAATCGATGACTCGGCACCTCTGCCTTGGTCTTCACGGACACCTCGCCCTCGACCATTTCTACACCACCGAACAAGGCTCCCCGCCTACCCGTCTCGTTACGGGCGCTAAGCGCAGACAACACACAACGTTCTTGGCTCTGATACCACATGTCACGGGCTTTTCTCAGAAGACCGTGCGGCGGTCGAAAATCCCAGTATTGCCCCGATCCAACCTTCCTACCATCGACCATCTCCGACTGGTTTCGCCCTGCCTTGTGCTCATCAGGTAATCGGCTCCAGATCACGACCAGTTTGTGCAGGGATGGCCTAATCCCCTCTTCTGAGTCTGATCCTCGATCAGCGACAGACACTCAAACTCCACCCGAGTTGTACTATCTAACTCCAAAGAGACTCTCCAACCTAAGTCCTGCACGCCTCTCACTGAAGCACGTAACTCCAAAGGGAATGGCCCCGCGGAAGCAACGCGACTGTCACGAACCATCCCAAGAAAACGGGTCGTGACATACTCCCCCACCCATCAATGTACACGCCCTCGTGCACTGAAAGAATCTTCAAGATCGTACGTTGTGTTGTCGTGGGATAACTCTTACCCCCACTTCAAATCGATGACTCGGCACCTCTGCCTTGGTCTTCACGGACACCTCTCCCTCGACCATTTCTACGCCACCGAACAAGGCTCCCCCGCCTACCCGTCTCGTTACGGGCGCTAAGCGCAGACAACACACAACGTTCTTGGCTCTGATACCACATGTCACGGGCTTTTCTCAGAAGACCGTGCGGCGGTCGACAATCTCAGTAATGCCCCCGACCCAACCTTCCTACCATCGACCATCTCCGACTGGTTTCGCCCTGCCTTGTGCTCATCAAGTGATCGGCTCCAGATCACGACCAGTTTGTGCAGGGATGGCCGAATCCCCTCTTCTGAGTCTGATCCTCGATCAGTGACAGACACTCAAACTCCACCCGAGTTGTTCTGTCTAACTCCAAAGGGACTCTCCAACCTGAGTCCTGCACGCCCCTCACTGAAGCACGTTCACCTGCCCTAGTGGAATGGCCCCGCGGAAGGAACGCGATGGTCGTGACATTACGGACCAACTAAGGACAGGATGCTTAGGCGCGGTTAGTTTTCGACGTTTTTAATATTTAACACTTAAACTAAATTATTTAAAAATACTATGAAATTAACATAGTTTAATTTAAAAATTATTAATTATTTTTTTAAAGTTTAAGTGTTAAATTTTTAAAAACATTTTGTGTAAATTATTATTATTTTATAAAAAAAAATTAGTGAAAATCATCATAATAAATCTTATTTTTAAAAAATCAAAATTATTATGATTTTTGATTAAAAAAAAAAAAAGGTAAGAAAGTAAAGATACCTGGTGGTTGTGAAATCCTGGGGGTTGTTCTGAAACGTGTTCACATATCTTGATGTAATATACCTTGGCAATTTTCACTAGCTGATCCTGATTGTCATGGCCGTAGAAGAAAGGTTATATCATGAACTCACCATCCCAGCAAAGATACAACCAAGACTCCACATATCCAAAGAATAGTCCACGAGAAGTAGTTCAGGTCCCTTAAAGTATCTGATACACACATTAGGAGAGATAAACATCAGAATGAAGCTTGGCAACAACGAAAAAATGACAGAGATAAAACCATACCTTGAAGCAACACAGAGATTATACTCTTTTCCAGGGTGGTAAAACTCAGCAAGACCCTAATCTATAAGACGAAGCTTACGCAGCTCTTGTCAATCATAACATTGTGAGGCTTCACTATACTTTCCACGCCCTACCTTCCGTACTACCTCATAATCATCTTGATCTCTGAGAGAGCAAAGAACAAGATCAAAAGTTTAACTAAAACATGACTGCTTTACACCATAACAGAGGAACTATAAGCAAAACTCACCAATAGAGGTAAAAGTAAAGTTTCTTCTACAAACCCTAGAAGCATCAAATTCATTAGATTACCTTCATCAAGAAGCAAGCTGAAATCAAATTCACTACAAACCCTAGAAAATCGATTATATTACTTTACCAACTACCAATTCAGCTAATTCTAGGGTTTAACAATCTTACCCCCATTGAACGATGAGTGACTCGTAATCCCAACAATCCTTGGGTCGCATCACGTTGACGTCGACATCGCTCGCGTCTGGTTAAAATCAGAGATCTCGACGATAGAATCTGGATCGATTGGATCGATCGTAGTACTACCGGAAACGTCGGAGGCAGAAGACCACAGAGGATTGAATGAAACGATGCTTTCAATCTAACAACTCTTAAGGATCATGTTGCAGAGATCATAGTCATCGGGCTTTGACTTCTTCAATGTCTACTAGTTGGATCATCATTAGAATCTCCAGAGTTTCAAGAAGAAGAAGAGAGAGTTTTGATTTTTGTCTCGCAAAGTGTTAATTAGGTCAACCTTATATATACACAAGAGATTACATACAATAGAGCCGTTGGAGGCAATTATAATGTTTCCTTATATATTAATACAAAGATGTTCAATAGAAAAACGAAATTGTGATCTCTTTCAATGGGCTCTAAGAAGAAGAGAATATATTCGGGTCGGGCCCCAGATTCACTCGGTTTGACCCATTTAGAATCACTAGGGTACACAAAGCTTTTCTGCATCAAACTTTTAAGCAGAGAGAAAGAGAGAGATGGGTGTAACCAAGGAGCAAGTCGAAGCTTCGTTGACTTCGAAACTCAACCCTGTTCATCTGGTAACTCAACTAATACTCTCTCTTGTTCATGGTCACTGTGTCTGTCCAAAAGTTGGAAACTTTTTACAACTTTTATCGACACACATGCATCATGCATCCTCTGTTCTTCGTTACATATAAGAGGAGGATGAAGTTGCAGACTCAAATTTGAAATCTTTATGATACTTTTGTTCTAAGACTGGAATCATTGACTCACTTATGTGGTTTGCGCAAGAAGTTTACCTTGTGATCTTTTCTCTGTATAGATCAGTGACTTGGTTTAATTTGTGTAAAACCAGCAAGTCATAGACACTTCTGGAGGACTCTAAATGTTTTCTTTTTGGCGATTTAGGAGTCTCGGTGAAGCTAGAGAACATGCTCTTCGGTTTGCTGCTACGTGTACCGCTTTTATGCCGGCTGTTTTGAATTAGGTTAGATGATTTCTTAGAGGAATTCGTCACTGATCCAACAAGCTTCTGTTGTGTCCTGGCCTTCATTTGCTGAAGCAGCTCGTTTGGTTCAGGGTAACGAACTTTTGCAACTCGCCGAGCAATCTTCCCAGCTACCATAAAACGCACAACAAACATAAGAATCACTAAAGAAAAAGGTAAGGCTGTGTAAACTGAACGATCGAGACTTAAAACCAGACACAATTTCAGTTACTTCTAAAGGTATAATCAACTCTGCATTAGCATCTTGACAAATGCTAGCAAGATCATACTTTCCACCTATGAAAACCAGAAGATGGCAACTCATCGGACTTTGGCTTGTACCGATCATCGGAAACTGGTTCAGCTTCTTCTCATTGCTCTACATCTGTAAGTACACATGCTGGTTCTTCCCAGACTCTTGTTTTTTTTTATTTAGGGAATTATGTCTTGACCTAACTGAAACCAACAGGTTTTGTACTGATTCACCCGGTGCCAATGCTTTTATGAGAAGTACAAAGATGTTATTGATCCCCCATTATTGCAGAGAAGGCTGTGATTGAGATGAAGAAGCAATACCAAGCTTTTGAAGCCAAGGTTTTAAGTAAGATCCCTCATTAGCCAAACTACTCGAAAATCGAAATTGAATTAGCTAGATTCGATTACTTATTTTTTAGTTCATTCCTTTTTTTTTGGGGGTCCAAACCGTTTCGAGTCATTTTTCCACTGTTCATGTGGTTTTGGTTACTTCCTACTCAAGCCATCTAAACTTATGTGGATACAAAATAGGCTAGGCCTAAGAAAATAATTTCTAAAACTCTCCCCCTATTTTCTACATAGCTATGGAAATCTAAAGCTTACAGTTTACACTAGTTAATTATCACCAAAAAGTCCAATTTTTCTTTTTCTTCGATACATTATTTTGTAACATAAGATATTTGATTACAAATTTACAACAAATCACAAAAAAAAAAAAAGATGAACACAATTGGTTGGGCTTAACTTCAATGTTTCAAGCCCATTAAGAGCATCTCATAGATAGAAATCCTATAAGGTTCTGAAAATATATTATTTTAATAATTTTAGTATAATATTATTATCAATTAAAGATTAAATCATAAAAAAAAAATGTACCCAATTATAAAAAGACATGTATCAAAAAACGTTTCTTAGACCATCTCCATCCACCATATCTCACAAGGGATCTGCCCAATTAAAAATAAAAAATAATATTAAAGTTAGAGAGAGGTTAAGAAACGTTTCTCACTTGAGAAACTATAAGAGCATCTTCATCGTAGAAATCCTATCAGTTTCTAAAAATATATTCTTTTAATAATTTTAGTGTAATATTTATTAATTTAAAGATTAAATCGTAAAAGAAAAATGTACCCAATAATTTTGTTTATTTTATTTTAAGCAAGACAAAAATTGTAGCGTCAATTGTGTGTGTGTGTTTTTTTTTAATGAAGAATAATTACTGTGCAGATTGCAATATATTAATATCATTCAACCCATACGATTACGAATACAAACATATGATGTATTTTCTATACAAAGTAACACACGAGTACCAAATAATATTACATTAATAAGGTTAAGGACTTACTCCAAAACCTAAAGCCTTGAGGACTTCAACCGGATCAAGTCCAATACCACTTTCTTCAACTTTACCCCAATCAATATATCTATCCACTGGGTCTACCTCATCCCTTGTGACTGAAGACGATAAGTTGGTTTCACGAGAGGATGTTTCTTGAGTTTGGTTAGTGCTTGAATTTTGTAATGCATTGAGCTGGGCTCTAACCACTTCAAGAGTATTGTATGAAGGATATGAACTTATGTACGTATGGTGTGAAACAGATGCTGGTAAAATGTCCTAAAAAAAACATTAAAAATAATTTTTTCTATGAATATATGATGATTTATTTATAAGACCTATTTATAATTTCAAATCTAGTTGATGTGGTGAAAAATACCTGATGAAGAGGATCAATTGTTGGTGGTACCGTGGCCGATAAAAAAGTTGCATTGCGATATGAGTCATGAATGACACAACTCCCGTTGAGCTGAAGTTGTTGTTGAGTTGGGATAGTGGATAAGCCAGACATCGATTGTGACTCAATAGTCACATATGGATTGATAAAACCTTGAGCCATATCATAAGTTTGATTGTCGTTGATCTGTAGATTTTCTTGAGTTGGATGTACCGATGCCTCGTACATTGGAAATGTATTGCTTGCGTTTTGAGTAAACTCACTCAATGAAAGACAAGCCATACCGTCGTTGCAAAAATCTTCCACAGACGTGGTATTTTGTGGAATAATGATAGATGGTTGTGAATAGTTCATTGTAAATGGATTTGTCTCTCCCTCGGAAAAATGGTATGAAAATGGTACAAACCGTTGCTCTTGTTTATGAGAAGATGGTTGTTCTGATATAGTAGTTGATGTCGAAATATAGTTGTTGTGTTGACTAGGTAAAGTTGGTGTCACACTTGCCTTTAAATATTGTGTCTCGAACATATTGCCTTGATTTTCTACTGCAAAAGCCGTTTGCATTCTTTGTGCTTTGCGACATCTTTGTATACGTAAATCGCTCTACAAAATAAAAATAAATATAAAAAAAAATCATCACCACACATGATTATTACCATCACACATATATGTATTAAACTATTAATTAATGGAATACAAATTTTAAAAGTTTACCTCTATAAGGAGGTAGAGTGATCCTTGGACCTCTTTTTCTTTTCTTGGTTTTGGTTTTACAGCTCCCATAAATCTAGGTTTTCTACTCCATTTTATGTCAATATGTTCAAAACTCTCATAAGTACGATTAGTTTCTTATAGAATGAATAAATTTGAAAAAACTCTCATATGAATACAATTTTTTTCTTACATATTTACTTGCGGACGAGCTGAGTTTATTGGAGCACATGTTTTTCTTGTGTCACGAGCAGTTTTAAAACCTTGAGAAACAAGTTATAAGACAAGACATTAAGTTTTTTGGTTATTTTTCAGAACGAAAATGTTTTTTAAGATTATATATATATATATATATATATATATATATGAAAATAAAAAAAATATACATCTTTAAGTAATGCTCATATTTTCTAACGCCGCGAGCAGTTTTCATAAAACCTTTAGAAACAAGATAAAATAAAAGACAAGATGTTAATTTTTTTTGTACATTTTGTTTGACCGAAAAATATTATTTTGAGGTTATTTATATATATGAAAAGGATATTAAAAAAAAAAAAACTAAATAACATTTATTTTTTATGATTTCCCATAACATAAATTAAAAATATGTCTAATATCTCGTATCTTTTACTTAAAATATAAACTTTTTATGTCTTAATCTAAGACCATAAAAAAGAAACATAAAAAAAAAAAACCAAATTTCAAAATTTATTAATAATGATTAAATGTGGGTTTTATATGTCATAATAACCATATTTTCCATGATATTAAGAAATATAGATTACAAAAGTCATAAAATATATTTTGAAATATATTATATCATAATAAAATATTTTATATCATAATAAAATATTTTATATCATAAAAAGTGCTCTTTTTATTCATCATTTAAAAATACTCGAAATTAATTTTTGATTGAATAATATCAAATAAATGACAATTAAGAGAATGAAGCTGGACATACGTCTAATATATTGATTTGTTCCATCCCGTATGTTACACTTTCCAAGTCTAAATTTCTGGAAAGATACGAAGACTTAAACATTAATTAAATAAATCATAAGCACTAAAATTTAATTTTGACTTATACGAAAAATATAAGAACATATAATTACCTGAAGATGACTCTTCACATGGTGAAGTGCAATCCCTTCAACTTCCATTGTCTCTTTAACACTTTTTGGCGTTGCTTCTGCAAAAAACAGGAATAGTTGTGAAATAAGCTCTTGATCTTTTATATGTATCAACACATATTTACATATGAACTAATAATGCCACAATTGTTTGGATGTTTTAGCCCTAGAATGTGTAAGAGTGAACCATTCAACCATACATGTTTTTAATCCATCGTGTAACCAAAAAATAAATCCTTACCAGTACATGATTCTATTTTTTTCAAAACAATATGAATGCAATGACGCGTGTTAACATTATGCTATTAATAATTTTATATCAATTATAAACGACAAAATAACGATCGATCACATAACGAAAAATCCAAAATAAATATATACGAACGCATAAAAAGTTATTCGCCGCAAAGAAAATGTTGGATAAGTCATAAACATTCCAATTTTGTTGCTAATGCAAAAAAAAAAAACTTAACATCATGATTAACGACTAAAATATCTAAAATTTCACCAATAAAAATTCAAAGTTTATGTAAACAAAATAGGGTTAAAATGTTCAATTTTTAAAATAACAAACGTATTCAAAAAGAACATATGTAAAAATATTTGATATCATTTAAACTTCTTAAAAAATTAATCATGCGTTATTCCGGTAATAACCAAAAAGTATTAAAAATAAATACTAAAATGATCTATATGTATCAAATGCTTTAAGTCACCTTGTCTTGAATCGCATAAATACCTCATAAAACCAAAAGATCTTACCTCTTCCTTATGACCATTGAAAAAGGATCCTAGGTAAATAAAACTAAAGATAAAATAAAGACCAACCATAAATATAGATTTGTTTATGACTCTTATGCAAGAACATGAAAAAAAAAACATAAATATTATTTGTTTATGACTGTTATATGCAAGAACATAAAAACAATCACGTACATATTTCTAAATTTATGCAAGCTAATCGAATATAATCTAAAACACAAAAATTGTTGTAGCTTTAATCTTCTTTTTCCTCCTAATAATATATCTTAAGATCAATGAAATATAACTTACTTTTTTTTTAATATAAACTTTTATATTCATGTAACTGATCACAAATCTATAAAGATTGATTTCATCATAGATTACATGGATGCATGTATTCATTAAAAAAAAGTCATAAAATCCAAAGAAAATATGGAAACCATGAGAAATGTAGAATTTTATGATGGATAAAACATGCAATGTTAAAGTAGATCAATATAAGTGAAAAATGAAGAACTCATGAAATATAAACTAGTAGGAAGTAAGAATTTAGGTTACTAACTGTCAGGTCCACCAAGTTTTTCCACAGCAGAAACAAAGCAATCGTGAAGGTCTCTTGACCACCGCAATCGTGCCTTTTCATCAGATGTGTAGAAAATGCATGGCGTGATCTTTGAAGATGAACCATTTCCTTCTTCAATACCAACTTTCTCAGCATTATCTTTCTTAGATTTTTGTAAATTTTCTTTATATGTCTCCTTATTACTTGTAGATTTTTGTAGAATTACCTCTATTTCTTGCTCACTTAAAAGCATTGAGACCTTTTTTGTATGATCAAAGTGATCAAGATGATGAACATAAGTGTTAGGATTTTCTTCGAAAGTGACAATTTCTTTTCCTTTCTTCTTCATCTCTTGTGAACTCATTTCTAGCTTCTTAATCAATGAGTTCTTTCAAAGCTTTATAAAGTTTTTTTTTCCTTCTTTCGGTGTGATTTGTTTTCAAGTTAAGAGTGGTTGTGAGCATTATAGGAAAAAAAAAGAAAAAAAAAAAAAGAGAAAACTAAATATAACTATGACTTGAAGAAGGAAAATAAACTTTTTAAAATCTCAAAAACAAAAGATTCAAGGTTCAATGTACAGTAACTCATAATTAAGGTAACAAACGTATTCACATGGAAGGAGATAATTGGTTTGTGATTTTTAAATCACACAAAAATATCAAAAATAGTTGGGACCTACCATTTTAATATGGTTACATACTCATCTCAGAGAATGACAAAGATGTTATAAATTAAAAGTTAGAAGAAGCCAAGAGATATTGAAAACGGCCGGCTAGAAAAACTTGCTTTTTTGGTGAGAATATTGAAATTGACAATATTCTAATTTTTTCTTTGAACTTTGCTAAAACAAAGATTAGGAGAAACCACCAAGGTAAAATTAAAATTTTGATTTTATATAAAATGTGTATCCATGTGTATATAACATTAGTTATTTGAAAATCTTTTTCATTATTTATAAATGTTATAACTATTTTGAAATAGAAAAAAATAAAAAAATTGCAGCAATTTAATATAAGCAATATATAAATAAAATATAAGCAACAAATTAAAAATTAACAAAAATATAATATCATATGTTTACGAAAACTATGATCTAATAAATTGTGCCAATTATGTCATTATATCTTACTCTAAACTAAGAAGATATATAATACATTGTATACCGCATAATTATTTATATAAATAAACTCAGTGTATTATATATCTTACTAAAACAAGATTAATATTTATATGCCCTGAAGTGATGAAAAACTATTTGAGCAGAATATATAATCCTAAATATGGTGTTATCTAGTTAGATGAATTTAAATTTAGCTTTTAGTTATACATGTTGATATTATTTTGGATGCTGCTAGTAGAATTTTTTGTTTGTTTCTTAAATGTTTATCTTTATTACAAAACAGTGACTAAATTACAAAGTAGTACTAAACTACTAAACTACCAATTGAACTCTTATCATAAATATAAAAAATGCATATTATATCTATATTTTTATTTTCTTGTATAATAGTATTATTATTTGTGCAAATATATAGTTCTTCATATGCATAAAATAAAAAATTAATGAAAGACTTTAAAGAAGAACAACACAAAATTGCTGACTAAATCACCTTTAATTGTAACAACTTTTATGCTTCTTTATACTTAATGCATGCAGAAAAAACAACTTTTCAAAATTGATTTTTCTCTATATTTTTTTCTACAGTCGCTAGATTTTAAATATCATTGTAAAGTTATTTCAAAACGTTTTTTTTTATTGAATATGCATGGTATTGTTGCCCCCAAGAAACGAAAAAATATGCATGGTTATCATAATTCAAAAAGAAAAGACATTTTCAAAATATATATGTCGTGTCGTGAAAATAATATTTTTCCTTCTTTTTTTTTACATTTATTTTTAAAAAATTATCCACATGTTCTTTATTTTTTTTGTCTTAATCAACGTGTTTAATACTTTTTTTTTTTTTTTGGTCTTTTGTATAAGTTTTTGATTAGGAAAAAGTAGTTTGTAACGGTTACATTTTTTGTATTTTTATAAATATTTTATTGTATTGATCTAAATCTATATAAAGTTATGTAATGTGGCATTTGGAGTTGGAAGTGATGGAAAAAACGTATTGGAGCTTACCGCGATTTGTAACTTTAATATATAGTTTTCTTTTTTTTTTCTTTTTTTGTCAACTCTTTAATATTTAGGATTTTAGATTTGTATATATGGAGACATTAGAAAAAGCACATGATTCAAAGATTTTGACATATGGTGTATAAAATTATGAATGTTTTTTAATTCCACGAGTTTTTTTTTTTACTCTATATTAAATGTACAAGTGGAAACAATAAAAAATTTATAGGATTCAAATTATCTCATCTCATCTCATATTTTTCTAGAATTTTAAGATAAAATCTTACTATAAATTACCAAAACATCTTTTTCCCAACATTACTAATTTATAGAGGTTTTACTTATGCCACCAATTCGGCCACTTCCCTCAATTTACAAGTTAATATAAGTTTAGTATTTAAGCTACACTAAGTTTTATATATTCACATAAATTATTTCATACTAAAAGAGATAAGATTCACTCTCAAACATCTAATTACCTTACTTTCATTGCAATTTAATTCCATTTCTGAAAGTAAAATACATTTGATCATTTCGGAACCATCTACAAACCTGTAAACCCAAGGGTTTTGTTTTAGAAAACGATATGCCATATACTAGATTTGGTTAGACAAAGATCCAACGATTATACATTTCTTTAGATCCATGGCATGAACGTCCATCAAACTAGTGATTCCCAAATCTTATAACTGACATGAAACTACCCACAAGTGCTTGTGCTTTCAGCATATCTATAAAGCAAAATCTTATGTTTTGGTTGTGAACACCAAGTGCTTGTGCTTTCACATGTTTGCCTTCTGATATTGCCAAGATCTCGTCCTCGTTTGCACAATGTATGTTCTTCAAGCATGCCCAACACAAAGAGTACCTGAATGTCACAAAAAAAGAGTTACGCTAACAATTTGTCAGATCGAGTAACTAGTTTGAAAGAAACCACATAAGATCTACACTTACGGATTGGTTATAGATAATCTGAATGGGTTATAATGGCCTCTACTCTGTCCAGTGATGCCTCTAAACGCCCGGTGCTCATGTTGAATAATGGTTCCTCAGTCCCAAGGGCCCTGTTTCATTCATCACTAAGCATTGTGACCAAAACAGAAGGCCATAGTGTTTGTTTTGAATATACTGAATACATGAAAGTTTGTGACTTACCCAGTAACCTCTGGGAGTACAAAATCAGCTCTCCATCCAAACCGGAAATCGATACCAGGACTAAGACCAAGAGTAGTTTTGTTTCGAATCCGAGATATACCATCTCCACCTAGACATGAGGTAAGCTTCCATTTCCAACCAATTGCATTCATTTGAAAATTATGTCCAACACCAACCTGCAGATGATGAGATTACAACATATGTATAAAAAGGTTCCACATAGAGACACAAGAGATGGCATAGGCATACAACAAAAAACCTGGAGGTTTAGAAATCTGGTGACAGGAATCTTCTTTGATTGAACACGAACTTCTTGGTGTAGCGGCTCATATATAAACTTCCACTTCCTTTCTGGACATAGAGGCTTCAAAACAAGCTTCGCATGGTAATCATTCGTGGGTTCGTTATATAACTGTACAAGTCCAAAACAAGATAATGATGAGACATCTCATAGCTCAAACAGCACAAAAAATATGTGAGTGCATCAATAGATGAACCATCTCTAATAAAACCAAATAATTAGCTCCAACACTCAAATCCAAAATCCATAAATTTTCAAACTTTACAACTTCAAAACAAGCTTTGCAATGTAATCATTTGTGGGTTCGTTACATAACTGGAAAATTCAAAAAAATGTGACAATGATGACACATCTCATGGCTCAAAAAGCACAAGAACATAAGCAAGAATGCATCAATAGATGAACCATCTATACTTAGCTCAACAGTCCACACTCAAATCCATTATCCATAAAGTTCCAAACTTTATAACTTCAAGACAAGCTTTGCGTAGTAATCATTCTCGGGTTCGTTACATAACAGCACAGTCGAAAAAAAGACAGTGATAACATCTCATGACTCAATCAACAACACAAAACAAGTCTCTTTGGATGCAAAAGTTAATGCATCAATAGATGTAACTTATGCCTAATAAACCGAACACTTAGCTCCGACACTCAAATCCATAATCCTCAAAAGTTTCAAACTTTACAACTTGAAGCCCATGTAAGAAGAAATTCAAAGTTTTGTTGAACATAGACGCGAAAGACAGAGAGAGAGAAGGAAGGACCTCAAGATTGACGCCGACACGAAGGCCTTGAAGCTCTTTGCGGAACTTGAGGAATAGCTCCGACGGCATTAGATTGATTTTGTAAAGGTCCTCCCATGACGGAGGCTCCTCCGCTCTCGAACTCGGCGGCTCCATACAAAATCCACCGCTCAACTTTATCCCAACAAAACAAAAAGTGATTTGAGGTGTTTGTCTTTAAACCCAACTCATATATAACCGGTTCGGTTCTGGTACTGGTACAAGTTGATTTTCATCCCGGTTTACAGATAACCAGAAAGTTGAACAAGTCAAATCTTTATCATTTTCATCCAAAATATAGGAACATAATCATCTCATTTTATCAAATTTAACCAAAAAAAAGAGAGGATTTTATACAAGCAAGAGCTCTTTTTCAAGCCTTTCACTACACAAACTTTTTTCAGTAGAGAGATTCCATGATCTTTTTAGTTAACACCATCAAACTCCTGAGATTATGTTAAAAACCTATAAGCATTGTTTCCCATTTTACAATTAAGGTTGCTCAGATGTTGTTGTTTCAAGCATCTGCTTTCTACGCCCGTCTGCTACTTCTTTCTGTAGTTCTGAGTTCGACATCCGCTCTACTTCCAAAGCTCTCTCAAGCTGATATTATAAACAAAAACTGATTCAGTTATCAAATTTTTGTCTACTAGAAAAGATCAAAGGTTGCTTCTTAAGATTACATTTGCTGCCCGCATGCTCCATTCACTCAAAATTGCGCGTAGCCTTTCGTTTTCTTCAATATACTGCACCACCACAAACAAGATTACTTAGAATCTTGACTAAAATCTAAAGATTTTTAGTCTACAATGCCGGTTTGTGCAAAACCTGATTGTTGGTACTGTTGACACGCTGCACCTCTGCATCTCTCTCCGCTATCAAAGAACGAGCAAGCCGTAGCTCAGACTGAAGCTGATTCATCTGCAAGGAAAAACATTCGCATTGTTGAGATTTACTCATTTATAGAGTTTTTGTTTCATAATATAATAGAGATGGAGCTTCAGAATAATGTATTACCTCAGCTGAAAGTGTCCTTAGCTCTTGATCTCGAGCAGCTAAAAGATGTGCAAGATCAACCTATCAAGCATTATTATACATTTAAATGAACCAATGAGGAATTCAGCTATTTGATATAATAAAGGAAACCAGAACCAATGCTCACCTGAGGTGTGCTTCCATCATCAGATTGTTCATATTTGCTAAGTTTCTCTTGCAAGGACAGAATCTTTGAAAAGCACAAATAACAAATACAAAGTTACTAAAGATACTATAGTGGCTCAGAAAACAGTAAAGGCCAAAGAAAATCAAGCAACGGCCAACGTTGATGGAAAATGTTTTAAGAAGAGTGTTTGTATCTTTAGCATCACTTACCTCCTCGCTTAGAAAATGGAGATTTTCACGTTGATATTGTAACAAAGCCGTTTGTTGATCAGAAAGCCGGCCTTCATAATACCTTTCATGCGAAAACTTGTGCATTATTTTCTGAACCAACATAAATTTATAAAATCAGATACATTAAGGACATTCAGTACCTTAAACCTTCCATAGAACTTGACGGCTGAAGAGGAGAATATAATGACTTCAAGACATCTGGCCGGGAATTAACGGAATTGTATTGGTGCACATAACCTGAAATCACACAGCATTTATCAATATAAGAAGCACCACTTAGTACTTCGGTAAAACTATCGGTTTAGAATTTAGTTCTACATTAACACTTAACATTCAGTCCAGTGGTTTTCTTCCTTACTAACCAATTGTAAGCATTGTCATTCAGTGTTTTGATTTTAGGCAACACACAGTTAACTTTTAGATAATAAGGTTACGTCAAGATCAGTTCTGTAACATTCTGGATTATGAAAAATTGGCGACGATATAGCAGAACAAGCCACTCACCGATGTATAAACCCATGAAGAAGCCAGCGCACACTGCTTCAACCAACATGATGATCCTGCAGATCATATATAATCATGGTTAAAAATAGTTTTCCTCCAACGGTCCAACCTATCAAGAGCTGCTCTTGTTTCATAGTTTCTCTTGTGGAATTTATAGAAAATTGTCAAATAGTTAATAAGCTGCAATTCTGCAAAGTGTAATATTTCTTAGATATCACTTTTACCAAATTGATTAACAATGCAATCAAGATAAGTTTCACTAAGATACTCAACGTGCGAACAATGAGCTACCAACCGTTGTAAAGAAGAAATAGAAAGAATGTGGAATTGAGGCCTCCACACTATCACAAGAAGCATTGCAGCTGTCCCTGGTAATATATCAAAGGTATTAAATTAATCATGAAGGAAATAACATGAGGCGGAGACGAGGTCAGTACTGACAAAACACCTTGCTTGGTTTTATATTTGCTTCTGTTTCAACTAACAGGTGTTTGGTCCCAATTATAGAAACAAAATGTGAAGCCAGTCATATGTTCATTCTCATGAATTAACATAACTGACAGACATCTTCAATAGTAGAATCAATAGAGATAAAAAGCAAAAAGAACAAGAAAAATCACTTGGTTAGTAAAATACCATATGCAGCGATTGCAAATGGCAGACGAACAACATGCTTCAACTTTTGACTGAAACTGTAATAACCCTGCAGACAATTCTCATATTAATCAGTCTATTACTATAATAAATGCAACAGTGTGCAAGGAAGTTAAAAACACTAGTAGAAGAAATTAACACCTCATACCTAAATCTAATCTTTAAAACCAAGTAGTAAACACTTAAGCTATCGAGTTTTTGTACCTGGAGACGTATTTTCTGGACTTGATAAACAAAGTATTGTTGAAAGATACCTGGGATAGGCCACATGGAAATTAACTTATAGGAATATAGAGCCAAGCCAACTAATAACCGAATATGAGTCAGTAATGAAAAACTGGTTTATACAGGTTGCAAGTAATGAATAACAGGGGCTAATGAGATGGCGAGACAGATCAATATAGTACTACATGTGTGCATATGAATATAGAAACATATGTGTTACTATCCATCAGGATACACTGATACAGAACCTAAACATACATGCATAGCTTCAAACACTAATAAAACCAAATCTAGGAGAAAAGTTCAAAACCTGTGACAACCAAAAGCGCAACATCACAGCAGCAGAGCAACGAAGGGGTCAACTGTTCGACTCGGTGAAATATCCAAGGAGCTCCAGCAGCTAAAATAGCATAACCTGCCTAATGTAAAAGGCAAAAACTATCAAAGGCAACATTAAAATGCATATGAACTTAATCAAAAGAATCGAATAACTTGCCAATAGAACCATATAGAGGTAACTTCCAACAAGGCTTCTAGATTTCCTGTGACCAAATAATGGTGCTTCATGCAATATGTCAAGGAACCTACAATAATTACACAACTAAAATATCAATTTAGATCCACACACATTGGTAAAAACGTAAACTTTTTTGGTTCATAACAGGAAACTGAATAAAGGAAGCATTTTTAATACAGATTTGCATGAAAATGAAAGCTAATCACAAACCCAAATCGAAATTGAATTAAAGAAGAGAGAAAATAAGCAAAAGGAAATTGGTTTTGAGATATACATAGCGTTCTCTTCGTTGGTCATCGGATTTGACGAAGAACGTCTCTCCGTTGACATCTTCGACGCTCAATTTGTGAAATTTCTAAATTTCTCCGATCAAACTAATAAACTCAATCTGAGATTTATGTCAAAGATAATATGAGATTTTGATCAGAAGTCGAATGGAGACAAATTTTACCGGCAGGAAACATATTTTTTTATCTGTTTGTCTGATAAATCCCTTTACATTCATTCAAGTTATATTAGAATTTTGGTTCGGATTTGATTCGGGTTTGGTTCGGTTTCGGTTGTTTTTATTGGGAACCCGAAATATTAAAATGTTTTTTAAAAACAAATTTGAACAAATTTGGTTAAATTTGACAAATATAACTAAAAAATTCTGAAGATTTTGGTTATTTTAAGTATTTGGTTTATTTCGGTCTAAAATAATTGATATCTTCGAGTTTATAATTCAAATTTTGGGTAACTGGGTTATATAAGTCTAAATATAATTAATATTTTAGATATATAATTGTATTTTCAGTATTTCGGGTATCTATTTGGTTCTCGGTTCGGTTCGGATTCTTCGAGTATAGGAGTCGGGGATCCGTTCGGATATTTTATCGGTTCTGGGTTCAGTTCAGTTTTCGTTTCTCGGTTTTTTTTTTTGGCCCATGCCTAATGCTAACTATCATAATCTTTCTTTCTAGGTTCAATAGGCTCTTTGTCCCAATCCCAATGAAAAAACGAAAGCAACCCTAAGATCGTCGGGAAATTATTAACAAAAACTTTGATAACTACGTGCTAATTTACGCCATGGAGAACAACACCAGAAAGCAAACAATCAACTCCAACAACAACACCAATAGCTCTTATCAAATCACACTTGTCTCAGAAGAGCCATGCAAATCCTAATAGTGATATTTGGGACGAAACTAATATTACATACTGTGGTTTCGGACCTGGAGAGATTACGGGTTTTGACCTAGAACCTTTTGGTATTAAAAAAAAAAAAATTGTTTAACAAATCTCTAAAGTCTATCTAATTTTTTTGAAAGAAACTTCGTTTTTTTTTTTTTTTTCCTTCTGAAAGTTTAAAATCTTTTTTTTTTGTCGAATTCGATTTTTCGGATTAAAAAAAATCTATTTAAAGAAAAGTTCCAAAGACTCTGACTCATTAGCGGGTTTAAAAGCCTCTAGCTCCTCTAGAAGGTTCTATTGTTCCTTCGTAAACGTTTCAGTTTCACACACTCATCTGAAAAAAAAAATACAGATGAGATTGACCAAAACAAGCCCTAGCTTAAGCTCCGCCGCCGATTTTCTCACGCCGTTATGATTCGAACAACATTCGCCACCGCCATCGCTCATTTCCACACCCATTCTCATGGAGGAGCTCAAGCTCGTCCTCTACAGAACAATACGCGAGAAAAAATCCATTGTCCTGAAGCTTGGTTAGTCAAAATCGTATCTACTTTGTTCGTCTACAGAGTTCCAGATTCAGATCTCTGTTTCTGTTACTTAAGCAAGAATCTGAATCCGTTTATCTCCTTTGAGGTTGTGAAGAAATTGGATAATAATCCTCACATAGGGTTTCGATTTTGGGAGTTTAGTAGATTCAAATTGAATATTCGTCATTCGTTTTGGACTTATAATTTGCTTACGAGATCGCTTTGTAAAGCCGGTATGCACGATTTAGCGGGTCAGATGTTTGAGTGTATGAAGAGTGATGGGATTTCTCCGAATAGTCGGTTATTAGGTTTTTTGGTGTCTTCATTTGCTGAAAAGGGTAAGCTACATTGTGCTACTGCATTGCTTCTACAGTCTTATGAGGTTGAAGGATGTTGTATGGTGGTGAATAGTTTGTTGAATACTTTAGTGAAGTTGGATCGTGTGGAAGATGCGATGAAGCTTTTTGATGAACATTTGAGGTTTCAGTCTTGTAATGATACCAAGACCTTTAACATTTTGATTCGGGGTTTGTGTGGTGTGGGAAAAGCAGAGAAAGCGGTAGAGCTTTTGGGTGGGATGAGTGGTTTTGGTTGTTCACCGGACATTGTTACGTATAATACTCTTATTAAGGGGTTTTGCAAGAGTAATGAGTTAAACAAAGCAAATGAGATGTTTAACGATGTTAAGTCGAGCAGTGGTTGTTGTCCAGATGTTGTTACGTATACGTCGATGATCTCAGGGTACTGCAAAGCTGGAAAGATGCAAGAAGCATCGGTTTTGTTAGATGAAATGCTTCGTTTGGGGATATACCCAACTAATGTGACTTTTAATGTTCTCGTGGATGGTTATGCGAAAGCTGGTGAGATGCATACTGCTGAAGAAATTCGTGGGAAAATGATTTCTTTTGGCTGTTTTCCTGACGTTGTGACCTTCACTTCATTAATTGATGGATACTGTAGAGTAGGACAAGTGAACCAAGGGTTTAGACTTTGGGAAGAAATGAATGCCAGAGGAATGTTTCCTAATGCATTTACCTATTCTATTCTTATCAATGCACTCTGTAAAGAGAATCGGCTGCTCAAGGCTCGTGAACTTTTGGGGCAGTTAGCTAGTAAGGATATTATTCCACAACCATTTATGTACAACCCTGTCATTGATGGGTTTTGTAAAGCTGGAAAGGTCAATGAGGCAATTGTTATTGTGGAAGAGATGGAGAAGAAGAAATGCAAACCAGATAAGATCACATTTACGATTCTTATAATTGGACATTGCATGAAAGGAAGGATGTTTGAAGCAGTCAGCATTTTCCACAAAATGGTGGCAATAGGTTGTTCACCGGATAAGATTACAGTGGGTTCTTTGTTATCTTGTCTTCTTAAGGCTGGAATGGCTAAGGAGGCCTATCACCTAAACCAAATAGCACGCAAAGGCCAAAGTAATGATGTGGCACCTCTAGAGATGAAAACAGCAAATGCGACTCTGGCTGCGTGCTAGGCTTTCTATACAATATCTCTGTGCATTGGCCTTTCTACCACCGTACATTCTCTACACATGCCAGGCGTAGCTGGAAGCAGAGCAGACAAACAGTCAAAAACTCACAGTAAGCATCTGTTCACATTCCTTTCAATTGCTCTGGTAGATTCACTAGATCCTAATTCTATTTTGATGACTGAACTAAAGTGTAATTGCATAATTATAACTTTGTAAAATGATATAATATGTTTATATCACTCTTAGTTAGCCAGTTCGCATTCTGCAGGCTTCTGATGCTTGTTGTGTCAATTTAATCTCATGTTCAGGCTATTCTACTTCCAGAGATCACAATTCACTGTAAACTGCTGAGAATGAAACCAAAATAGCTTATCTGCAAGAAGAGGGATATTCAATTTCTTAAAAGTTAGAAAAATATGTAGAAATAGATTTAGGATCCCTATATTTTTTACTCCTAGGAGCTTTTTCCTTTGTTGCTTCTCCAATTGTGACACCTAGATTTGAGAGAGTAAAGGATGATCGAGCTTGTGAAAGATTTAAGAGGGGCTATTTGAGAACTTTGAAGTTCACATGTTTGAGATTGAAGATAATTGCTTCATCTGTTCTGTTGCATGTTGTTTCTTTTCTTTTCTTTTTTGGATAAGAAACCGCTGCCATTTTGAATCCTCTTCTTTAAGATTTGCAGGGTAAGAACTATGAGGTTTCTCTGCATGTCTTTGGCAATACCGGCAAATATCCAAAAGGCTGCACAGTACCAAGTCAAAACCAGGTGAGGAAAAACTGCCTGAACGAATGACCTCGCGGAAAACTAGCAGAGTTAGATCTTAAGTTCTGCCCTAGGATAAGAACTGGTTATCCGAGATTTTTTGGAGGGAACCAGATTGGAGACTGGATGAGACAAATATATATATATATATTTGGTTATGGTGTGTCTTGTCACAAATTAGAACATTAATATAAAGTCTCTTCATAATATACATTAAAACAAAGATGTTTCTCTGTTACACTCAAACTCAGCTTCTTCAATGTTTCCAAATTCAAGAATTGTCGAAGTAACTGTAAAACATTGCATGAGGCTGCAGCACTAATTAGAAACTTACAGGAAACAAGATAATTTTCTTACTTGCAAATTTTGAATCATAAGAGGAATAATAATCCATCACTACATATAGTTGCTAAATGACAAACCTAGAACCATAATTTATTCTCTTAAAGAAAGAAAGACAGCCGATGGGGATCATATGCCGTACATACTAACTCATAAAGACAAACAAGCAAGCTCACGAAATGGAATTTCTCGAGTTCAGTCGCCGATCAAGACCCTAGTTCTTGCTGTTGAGGTCTTTGAACACCGGGCTGTCTAGTGCAACGCCCATTGCATTCAAGCCATTGTCCACATAGATGGTTGCACCGGTTATGGCAGAGGCCAGTGGCGATGCCAAGAAGGCTGCTGCATTCCCAACTTCATCTGCATCATTGCCATTTATAAACCGTAAGATATAAAAGAAAGACAAGTTTTAGAATGCCTTCGAGAGAAGCTGGTTTGAAGGAAAAGAACCTGCGGTCAATGTTTTCTGAATAGGCCCATTATTGTAGGAATACTCAATCATGGTGTCTATGAACCCAATGGCTTTTGCTGCTCGGCTTCCCAAAGGACCTGAAAGCCAAACAGTAGTAGTACTCTTTTACAATTCAAAAGCCGGAATATTTGTACGACTAGGCTTGTAAGAGTAGAAGATGAATTACCCGCAGAGATGGTGTTGACCCTAATGTTTGATTTCCTTCCAGCTTCATATGCAAGCACCTATGTTGAACATGCAGTTTGGACTAAGAGACATCTAATCGATATATGTTTTAGTTTACGAAGACTATTTTAACAGAACTGAAAACTCACCCTTGTATCACTCTCTAGTGCAGCTTTGGCAGAACTCATCCCTCCACCATACCTGCACAGTATGAAAGAGAGACTTGTTAGACTGTGAGAAACAAAACTCTGTGTACACAAGAATACATGGCCATTGTTGTGTGCTCATTAGTTTGTTTCCTCGAAAAACATGTGAAGAAGCCGTGGAGCCCAGTATAACCCTTACCCAGGAATGATTCTTTCAGAGGCAATGTAAGTAAGAGATATTGAAGCACCTCCTGAATCATCATAGAGAAACAAATAAGAAAACATAGTTATACAGAATAACTGAATAAGAGACATAAGATATTTGTTACATGCCTGGGTTCATAATAGGCAGAAAATGCCTGAGCAAGGAAACAAAGGAGTAACTCGAAGCAGAGATAGCAGCGAGATAGCCTTTCCTCGATGTCTCCAGAAGAGGTTTGCTAACCTAAACCTCATGTGCAACCATTAGGAAAAAGTTGTACACACACAATGCACTTATTGTAATCAATAATCGATAAGAACATATGAGTTCTCTACCTCTGGCCCATTTGCAAGGGAATGGACAAGAATGTCGATGCTTCCAAAATCTTTTTTCACACATTCAGCAGCTTCCTGATTAAAGCAACAAAAACCAGATGAGGTAATAAGCCGCAATCATTAAAGAGAAACAAGGACCGGTTGTGTATCTCTAATCTATACCTGTACGGTCCAGTTTGATGACCCTGCATATCGCTTATTCGTTTTCACCTGAAAATGAATCATACAGTTTGATATTAACGGTTTCATATGATGAGAAATCTATACACTTAATCCCCTTACATCTTCAGGCACATCTTCAGGATTGTCAAACACAGCATCCAAAGCATAAACCTTCTTAATCTCCATCAATGACCCGTCTGGCAACCTGAATATAGATGGATTGAAATTAATGTCCCATTATACGAAATATGCATGCCTTTACACCAATTTGCAAGTCCTTACACTCGTGACTGGTCGAATTTTCCACGTCTCAAGCTTGTCTCAAAAATATTAAGTGCCTAGAAGACCATTCATGGGTTAGTATAGTTAGCAATGAAGCAAACTAAAAGCAGCTGGAAAACGAAAGCGAAAGAGTACAAATGGATTAAGAAAATCACTTACAGGAACCCATGTCCCAACCAATATTTCAGCTCCAGCAGCAGCAAGAGATTTTGCTATGGCCCAACCATATCCATTATCATCCGCTATACCAGCAATGAAAGCTCTTTTTCCTGTACCATATAACTCTTTCTTAATTCAAATAGTCCAAGTCTTCTGTCACAAGGCTTCTAATAGCATCTTAATGGCATAGTAGTGCTAGTAACATAATGATTAAGATGAATACAAGAAAGATATGCCAACCTCTCAAATCAATTGGAAGCCCTGAAGAAGCCTTATTTTCACTGGATTCCGACATCGCCTTTGTGGAAAAGGAAAAGGGTCTTTTTGAAGTTGGAACAGCACTGTGGTTTCTCAAACATCCAAGGTTTGATAAATGGCGAGTGCATGAAAGTTTATCCCATGAAGCGTTTCCAGGATTGGCACCAACAATGTAGGTCCCTGCTTTAAGAACTTTACAAGGCGAAGAAATGCTCGGCCTTCGTGTAGCAATTTGCAAGCTTGAAGCTGCTGTAGCCGCCATTCTCACAACCTTTCTAATTTTTTCTAATCAAAATTGTAAACAACAAATCAAGAACCGAAAAATTTAGAAATGTTTGAACATTGTAAGAAAGACCAATGAGCTTTTTCTCTAATGATGAGTTTCAATTCAATTTATATTGTTACACAAAATTTAAGAAACAGTTCATATAAGTTCACTACCTGAACCTCATAACAATGCTAAGATGAGAAAAAGAACCCTAATTTCGAAATTTCAAGCACAACAACAGGAGAAATCTCAATCTATATAATGAAAAAGCCTAAAACCCATCTGCATTTTGTCTATTAGAATTCACAAACAAACAGAGATCACTAATGGAGAAATTAAAGAATCAGATCAATCCAGAGAAAACATACAAGAACCAAACCTAACCAAGAAATAACACAAGTTTCGATTTTTTCGCAGCCCAACATCAGAGGAAAACTCAATCAACAGAGATATAAAAACTTCGACAAAAACCCAAAACACATCTGCATTTAACATTCAGAAACTCATCAAACAAACAGAGATACAAATGGAGAACAAGAGAGATAGAGAGAGAGAAAAACCTGTTAGAGCGTAAGAGATAGAGAGAGAGAGAGACAGAAGTAGGTTTGGTTGATGTGAAGTGATGATATGTAAGAGAGAGGAGCTTCGATGAGATCGAGGTGTTGTTCTGTGAAGTAAGTGATATCAGAAGTTTTCGTCTCAATTTCAAAACCGATCGGTTCTGTTATAACAACCGGAAATTCCGGTTATTCTTGAACCGTTTTTGGGATTTTTCGGTTTTTTTCTTCCGGTTCATTATTACATATGTATGTATAACTAGTGATTGACCCGCGGTACACCGCGGGGATATTTTTTTAAAAAAAAATTGAAATGTAAATTTTTTGAAGATTATCTATATATATAAACTATTAATTTGTATTTTTAAATATACATATATACCGCGGGTCGATTTTTTTATAAGTAAAAAATTTAAATTTGAAGTTTTATTTGTTTTGTAAATATTGTTAGTTTTGTTTAGTGTTTAAGATTGTATAATTATATTTTGATTGTTCATTCTATGATTCCACCCGTGGTATACCGTCCCGTATTAATATCGACATAAACCCGTCCAACCATATAACCTTGTCCCATGAAATCAAACAAAATTTTGTTATTTTTATTTTTGGTAATATTTTTATTTAAAATACATATAAATTGAGTCACTTTAAAAGTTTGCTTTTAAATAGTTTTCATAATATATATATTTTTAATTTTATAAAATTCAAATATAATAGTATTTTAATTATATAGTTAATTTTATAAATGTCAATAAAAGATTATTTTGCTTTGTATTTTTTTTTGTTGCATAAATAAATATTTGGTTCCAATTCAGTATATATTTATTTTTTGTGCAAAGAGAATAAAAGTGGTGAAAGTGATTATTTTTGCATGACATATTTTTGTATTTTGTAACTGCAAATGGATGGTTTGTTAACCGTACGAAAATGTGAATGATTCTAGGGATATCCAATTTGGTACGGTGAAACATATTTCTAACATCTGCAACTACGACAAAATGATCAATATACACTTTAGGTACTAAAACGAATTCTAAAATGGTTTGGGTCTTTGTTTAAGCTGGTGATGACCAAAAACACACCACCACATGCCCACGAATACAAATTGTATATAGCCTGATGACACTGAATTGAGACCTCAAGGTGCGATGACTCGAAAAAACTTACATATAAAATACACAACGCCACTTAAAAGAATGTTCATATATGCATATATAAATAGTTTGGAAACAACAATACACAGCTCGTAACCCAACAAAAAATAATACACAGCTCTCAAGTATTGTGTTCTTTGATACAGAAATCAACATCAATACATTTGACATCATACTCTTAAAAAAGGGTAATGAGTAGGAAAAATTAGCAACAAAAAAAGAAAGCCCAGTTGTTGCGTGGTAGATGCAGTGATTGGTAATCAAACACACAGTAACTTGGAGTTTAAATCAATTAATTGAATACAACGGCTCTTTGGTGCTGCTACAGTGAAATGCAATTTATGTAAGTTCAAACAAATTTAAGTTATGAACTTAGAGAATGTTAGTTAACCGGGAGATAGCAAGAGGCTTACTCTCTTACAGCCTCGATATCCAACCGGAAAGTGTTTTCAGGTAGCCTCTGCAGTTCATCAGATTAAATTACGGTTAAACAAAAAACTGTTTTGAAGAAGATATATTCAGCACAAAAAGAGCTGATACAGTGGTACAGTTGTTCAATCAATAGGAGATCTTGTGTTCTTGCCTGAAGAGAAAGAGAATCCATTACGCTTGCTTCACAGAATGGAACAAATGCTAAGTATGCAAAAAGAAGACCAGCTTCATATCTGTAAACCACAAGAAAGTGTTAAACATTTATCAAAGAACATTTGCAACTGAACAGATGAAAGACTTAGAAAGCAAAAGCATTACATGTAATCTGCAATCCCAAAAGCTCTTTTCTCAAAAACTATGAAAGCACCAGCAGCAGTTGCCCTTCGCCAAAGTTGCTTTGACAGTGAACCAGAAGTGGCTCCTTCTTCCAAGCATGAAGGCCTGTAAGGTATGCTCAGTTTATTAACAGATAGTTGATAAAAAGCACCAACATTATCTTAACAATGCTAGTTCCAGTTATAAACAGCAAGAGCAAAATGGCGAAATATAAAAAAAACTACAATAGCTGAGGATAAATAATCAATCAGGGAGAGATGAGGAGAGTGAGGGAACCTTATGTCAACATAAAAGGCTAGATCTCGCAGCCGCGGTATTAAATAGATGGCTTCTCGTTCCGCTGGTGTACTAAAGATAATTTCACCAGAAAGAAAAATCAATTGAATTAGTAAAGTACACGATACACTTATATTGAGAGAGAGGTGTGTATGACTGTATGCTATCACTTTTACGTGCTCGTAGGGCCACCTTTTCAAAGAATGCAACATGTTTCGTCTATTAGGTTTGTAGCGGCCATTTGCCGACGAAAGAATATATTTGCAGGGTTTATAAATGAAATGTGTGTGTTTGATGATGTGATGAGAGGTAAAAACATATAGTATATAGGCTCGGGAGAATTAGGTCAATATTCTCTTGGTGATCTAGGAAAATTAATTCGCAACCTTAATTAAAATGGAATCAAATATTTGTAATTGGAATTTTTTAGGTATATGCTGCAAATGCGATTTGTAACAATAGTTAGTAGTTTCTATAAAATTTAAGGTATGAATATTTTGTAATTAGTTGTATCGAGATATTTTAGAAAGATTGTGTCTAAAATATTGGCAAAGATATGTGGAGTAATTTTTGATTTCAAAAACCGACTTAAGTAAAGAATAAATGAGATATATGGAAATATTGTGTGGAGATTTTAAGAAATATAATAAATTAAGATAGATATTGTTTGGTTAATATCTTTTAAATTTTTTATCAAATCTTAAGAATTAAGATGTGTCGTTTTTTTAAGGTAGGATGAGAGTAATTAGTTGAGAGAAAAATGAGATTTCAGCATTAAACGTTTTTTTAAACAATGTATTTATAGTAAGTGATTTATTTTCCTAAAATTTCGTTAAAAATGTATTGCATTCAGTTAGTTGTTTAGGGAAGTAATTAATGGAAGATCCGACCGAGATATTCTTAAGATATCGAATTGCATATCGTCGGCCATAATGGGAAGAAGCATAAATGGTAATATAAATTAAGATTTAATCACAATTAGTTAGTTTTAATAGTTTCCATTTGGTAGATATTCTCGATATTATTGTTAATAGCATTTAAAATTGAATATTTGATTTCCATATATTTGAATATCAAATCTCGTTATCGCAATATTAGGAAATTTTGTGAGTTAATTTATTGTTTTGTAAAATTTGCTTAAGACAATATTTGTGTCTGATTTTTTTTGTAGGGACTAAATGTACAATTACAAAATTGTAAAAGGATTTTTGAGGCCAAATCTTCACCAAAAATGTATATATAGATTACGTAATTATGTACCAATCATGGATTTCGTAGGTGGATTTTCTAGTAGCTATCTAAGAGTGAGCAAAATATTGTTTCGTTTCTCTAGAAGTTTTCCTCTAAAAATGCTAAACATTCATGTGTTATTCCATCAATTCACCCACATTTTTATGTTCAAAATTCTATATAATTTTACATGTAAATTTTGGGACAAAACATAACAAATTCTAAGATAATTTACTTATTGATGCAAAAACATAGGCTCCGAATGGAGAAAGCGTAATGGAGAGAACAGATCAAACGGATCAAACGTATCAAAACAAAAAACAGATCAAGCAGTACAAATACGGATCAAGCGGTTCGAACGCTTTAAATATGTGTTGAATTATTTTACAAGCAGTGCGGTTGAAATATTTATATTATTAAAACGTTAATTTTAAATAAATATATATATATACATTTTTGGAGTACATTTAGCAAATAAATCCTGGCTTTCACTACTATTTACAATAGAATGCCACTGAAGTTAATTCTTAAGATTTGCAAAATTAAATAAAAGATATTAATAAACGATTTTCGATCCTAAAATCTTGCTTAAGTCCTGTAATCTCATATTTTTTGTTATGATTTTAAGGAATCTAATTAGTTTAATAAATTTCTATAAAAAATCTAAATAGTATCCTATATTTCCGTTTTAGTGCTGATTTAATAGTATATACATATATAATAAATATAAAAAATTATAAATAGTATCCTACATTTCTGTTTTAGTGCCGATTTAATAGTACACACATATATACATATATAATAAATACTATCCAAATGGAAATATAATTAATGTAATTTTTTAATGTAAATATATAAATTAATTTTTAGTTTTCATTTCTTTGTTATATTTATGTTTGTTTCTTAATTCACACTAATTGTATTTGATTAATTTTTGTTTGGTCGTAATTATAATTCATAATCTACACTAAACTTAGATTTTAGTTGGTTTTGATTATAACTATAGTAAGCAACATCTGTATATTATTACTTTATTATAATAAAACATTACAAATATATGGTTTTAAAGCAAACTTATAAATTGGCTCGAATAGTATATGTTTTTAAAATAAAAATATGATCAAAAAGAAATATAACAAAATGATGTTCAATTTCACGGGACGGGGTTATATGGTAGGACGGGTTTTGGTCGATATTAATACAGAACGGTATACGACGGGTGAAATCCTAATATTAACTATCAAATACAATTATATAATCTTAAACACTAAATAAAACAAATAATATTAACAAAACAAATACAATTTAAAATTTTAAAATTTTAGTTATAAAAATTCGACCTGAGGTATACTGCGGGTAATATAATAATATTAATATATAAATACATTTAATCAAACAAAACAATAGGTTATATCTATAGATAATCTTCAAAAAAAAAATCAAATTTTTGTTTAAAATATAGTCCCGCGGTGTACCGCGGGTTAAAATCTAGTATTTTACATATCACGATAAAATATACTAAACTAAAATTACTATATTTTTCCCCTTTTTATAAAACATGTAATTGTTTCAAAATTCTATGTAAAAATATTTATAGAATTTTTTTCGCGTTTATAATTGTAATTTTGGGTAATTG